ATTGAAATCTAGCATCAGCACCATTCCTCCAGGGGCCGTAAGGTATTCTCTCCCGGACAGGGGAGGGTTCCCTTCCCGGTAAGGTATGCTCTCGGGGAGAGCAGAGAGATAGATGCTCTCGGGAAGAGCAGAGAGAGAGACCCGAATACGGGGCGTCCCAGCCCCGAACAGGAGTACACCTTACGGACCCAGACGTTTTACTTGCTTGTATTAACTAGGGAATGGAATTGATAACAGCTATTTGTCTGCCAAATTATAAGAAGAATACATTCGTCTAGATATCTGATAAATTATGAGAACAATACGTTATATCACAAGCGTGGAGCAAAATTTATGAACAGAATCCGGTTCTGAAATGGATAAACAATAATCATAACAAGTAATATCATAACAGTAAACATGCCCTACTGGCTCACGCAATGATACGAGTTATTCAGGGTCAACTGTTGTTCGCCCAGTTCTTCACAATAAAGTGGTGTACAAAGTCTTTTTCCCTTGAATCTTCAGCCAATTTGTCGTCGTTTTCATCATAGTCATAAAGGATAAAAGGATAAAGTTTTTGGCGTTAATCAATCCTGTCTGGGGGATGCGCCCCCGCACTCGACTTCCATTCAGAATCGTAGTGGCGTAATGAGTGCGTATGTGGCCTATACAATGACTTGCGGTGGCCAGCCGATGTACAACTCAGTGCTTTTATCATCCCAGACGAGTCTGGTACCAATTAACCGACCCCGGAGGAATGGAAGGCTTGGTTGGCCTGGGCGGGTATCGGTCCGGGATTCGACCCCCTGATCGTACGTCTGATATAGTGCGCCACTTCTTACTACACCACCTCCGCCCTCATCATAGTCATATGATCAAAAAATAAGAGAACGCGACTATATGAGTATGGGATATACATGGTACCTGAATAAAAACATGGTCTTGAATCTATAGCCTTGGACGCCTTTCATCTTTTCATCAAAAGGTGGTGGTGTACCGGATAACCGCTCACTATCACGCCTGCATAGTCCAGGGATCGAATTTCGAATCGACAGTCCCCTAGGCTACCGAGCCTCCCGTCCCTGGTATTAATAGTACCACAAGATAGGTCTCTGGGAGGATGAAAGCACTGATTTGCAAATTGGGTAGCTTGCATAGGCTTTATACGTTTTCAAAACGCCACCACGATTCTAAATGGAAGTTCAGTGCTGCGAGTACCCCGAAAAGGGGATTCATCAACGCTGAAGGCTTCTCCTTTTGTGCTTTGACCCATCAAGAGCTATTCATTCAGGATCGAATACCCATAAAAAGTTTCTGAGAATCATTTGGTTTTTTTGGAAAAAAAAATGAAGAAACAGGGAAGACTCACGAAGGAAACCCTCTGAGCCAGCTACAAGCCCGCATACTTTGATGGCATCGACCGGTGCTTGCATCCATAGTGCCAGTGAAGGCATGGCTTAGTCATAGTCATAAAAGTCGTAAGCAGCCACATCTCCGTCCTGTCAACAAAATTTAATGGTTTATGATCCTTTCTGGAGAAGTTTCACCATCTACTATGATCTTCAGGAGTTTCGAGTGTATTTTCCATTTGTAGGCAACAAGTCAACAAATTGCATCCCCTTGCTAAGGGCTTCCATCTCGTAAGCAATCCCAAGCGGGATTATGTCTATGGAGGTATCGATTATCCATTTTTTCCCGTCCCAAGCATTACTTTTACTTTTTCGTGGCCAATGCAGCAACCATTGTCTGCTTTTCTTTCTCCTTGCATCTTGTTCTAGCTGCTGTTAGCTGACATATGTACCCTTGAACAGAAAAAAAGATTTCTCGAGAAGTTTCTTGATATTGACTACTTTTCCTCCTGCATACCTTGTCCTGTTGTACTGTTTGATTCTTCTTTTATTAGCGATTTCGATGTTCTTATGATAGATTTACTAGTAAGACTGCACGCAGTCGCAGATGTTTCAACTAAACCTTCTTCATAGTTTTCTACAATAAAGCCTTCTTACGTGCGGCTGTGCCTACTTTCGGACGATTTCCTCTACTTAACCAAAGCTCTTCCTCGTTTGGCAACAGCGAAAATTACTTGTTTTGGGGGAAAACTTCAGTCAGAATTAAAAAGGCTGTTTTTTTTTNTTTTTTTTTCACAAAGGTTTTGATTTGCTGCCCATCTACTGAGGACCGTTCCTCCAACTTTTTCATCTCGTTAGCCATCAGCACGCTTCACATCGCATAACCTCGGAACTTTACAGACATAACTGCTGCCACAGGAATAGCAACAGCAGCAACGACCAAACATGGGTGTGGATTGGTTCCGTGGAAGCGGCGGTGGTTCCGCCCCTGTGAGTGCCAGTTTTGCCATCGTTGGAGGTGTGCTCGCCTTTCACTCTATAAATTGGCTTTGCGGAATGACGCGTCTCGAGAATCTTGTTGGATTTGTTCATCCGAAATACGAAAAAGTCGAGAAGGTTTTCAGGTATATAAAACACTTTTACACTTTGATTCTGTTTATTTTTCCCACTTTTCCTCATTTCATTAGAATCGCCACACATCAGATTGGCCTTTAATCTTGCCAAGTAATTTTGACGTTGGTCCGGAATTCTGTAGATTTTCTTTTGGGAAATCTACTACGGAATGAATAAAGTGTAACCGGTCGCTCTTTCCGCTTCGGATGCTGCAGAACAAAATCAGAAAGGAAAATCCTGTAGTATATAGGAAACATAGCTGAGCTCATGTAATCATCCGCTACGTGAAATCCTTATCGATGTCTATATACCAGTAGGTTCTGAAGATGGTTAGGGCTGCGGTGCCGGACAGGCATACTGATCACTTCTTTCGTTTCTCACTTTTTCTTTAGTGATAAAACCATCCCCAGGAACCAGACTTGTGTCTACCCACCTGAACATTTTTCCTGCTATTCCAATCGTACNTTATTCACAATTTTCGGGCTCTACTTGTTGAGCTTGTCTTGTTTGGAACAAAAATGGACCTTCCATTCCTCAGGCTTGGTAAAATTATATTACAGCATCACAGAGTAGAATAGACCTTTAAATAACCCACCAGCAACTTTTGTCGTTTCCATTTTTGAGCTGTTCACATATAACTGTTGAGTTGCCCCTCGACTGTTTTTGTTCTATAGTTTCCCACTACTCTGGGCGTAATGGGGGAAACGCGGCAATGTTGCCTGAATCTTGAACAATATCGTTTCCGGCGCCCTCACCTATTCATATCTTCGAATTGCTATTACAGCCTAATACTGAAAAAATCAGGATCCTCAAATATTTGCATTGGAAGACACCTACCTTTGATTAGATTATCCGGCAATTAACTTTCCTTTGCTCACCAATCTTCGACACAGATCCTTTACTCATAGACAGACACAGAAGGCAGGTATCTTAAATGCTTGTGAGTGACTAGCTACCTTCCTCCATGAGCTTTTTCATTCTTTCTTTTCCTTTCCATTTTTTTAAGTCGTGATGCATATTAGCATACCCATACCGACTTCGGTTTAGTGTCATTAGTTATGAGACAGGCAACCGTTTTACACTAAGATCCAACCAAACAGCCCAGTCATCAGATGGGAGTTTTCGGTGTAATCGGCTTGAAATGGTTCACAGCATAAGTCTCCTAAGTGCCGCTTGCTCGAGTAGAACTTTGGAGCACGTAACGAGAGAAAAGAAATAATTTGGAGAACGAGTTTGTTGACCCGCTGTCATTTGCAATCATGGACGATGTTCACAAGGATAGAAAGCGAACAAAGCTTTTGAGAAGAAGGGTGAGGAGAATTAAGTGCATGAACTGCCTCACACTTATCTGGTCTAATCCGCAACCCCATGCCGCCATGTGATGACGAACAGTGAACGTGCTAGCGTAAGCGATCCGATAAGATCGCGAATGGTCGCTTTTCCATATTACCACAAATCTTGTCATTTTTTCGATTTCTTATCAATCATTGCTCGCCTAAAGGATCTCGTCCACATCTGGGCTTAGGACTACCATTTATCTACTCGTAGTTGACACTACATTACTGTTTATGAAGTATTCGCCTCCTCGGGTAAAATACTGAGTCACTCTTCAACTCGTTTGTAAGTTGAGCTCTTTACCCACTTACCCAGTCACACCACCTCTTCAGCAGCCATCTTGAGGGAGTTTGGGATCACTTTCCCAAGAGATTTTCCTCGGTTACAATAGAACTTCCCTTCCTTCATGTAGATATGACGATTTTCTTATCATTTTTCGACTAAACTCGTTGTGCCTATTTGATTATTGTCTGGTTGTTTAGAATATCACTTTGTAAATATGAACTTGAAATAATCCGGATTCAAAAGAAGCAATGGACGTCCGTTCCCTGTCAGGTTACGGTCAGTCCGGTGCTCAGATGTGCCGATTCTCGATGACGGCTTAGAAATGATTGTCATGATTGTTGATCAAGGTTCCGGTTCACTGTTCCACTACTGTATGACACCGGGGTCATCGATTCTTCGTCGAGATTTGTATCTCAACGCCGATACTTCTCAATCTTTAATTAGCTTTTTTTGTAAGCTAATTGCCAGCTTACAACTTCCAGAACAGCTTCCTGATAGGGTTTTCGATGACCATTAAACTTGTACATCTACTAGACGAGAAGCATACGTGAACAATTGTCACCAGGTCGTACTTATGTAGGAACCATCCTTTGTCTCACTTTTTTATGTCTACTAACGTTCATGCGCATTTCACTTTCTCGGCTAGATCCGGTTCAGCGTCATAGGAAACGTGAAGCTGCCAAGGTTGTTTGCTTTGGCAGCAGCCGGGCATAAATCGAACTTGAACCTAACCAACCAACCAACCAGCCACAAGATTGCATTCGAAATCCTGATACGTTGTGCAGTCATAACCCATTTTCAATGCCACTACTGAGCTATGAATCAGCAGAGACAGTGAGGAATCCGGTTGGTAACCGCAATGGTAGCGCTTCACATGGTTACCCCATAAAACTAGTTCCTAGCTGCTACTAAAACGATCTGTCAAATCGTAGAAACTTCTCGTAAACCTTTTTCTAGGGTTGTAGGCTTGTTTTTCTTAGTGGAAACATTTTTAGAAAAAACTTTCACGATGGATGGGAAAGAGAAGGAGCTGCAATTGCCGTCTACCATAAAGGAGAACTGATCGTGGATCTACAGGTCAGTTACTCTCGTAGGAATTTCTTTCTCATCATGGAAATGAACATCCCGATTTATGAAGAGACGTTGGCGTTGTTTGATCGGATCTATTTGAGGGTGGTTATGCTGACAAATCGTCGGGACGAAAATGGACACCAGAAACGAGGACCGTGGTTTTTAGCGCGACAAAGGTATGTCACGACTTCACGCTTAGCGCTTGAAGTGCCTTACGATCAGGGATACACTTCTGTGGGAGATTCTCCGCGATGGGAGGTACCGTCTTTGTTCCCAGGAGGGAGGGGGATGTGAGAAAATGAACAAAAGTTACGCTGACGATGATTGAATGATTACGTCCAAGCCTTGTACCACCACAGCTCTCCCCCATTTTCTGAACTGCTAAAGTAGGGAGGGGATATGGAGGACAGAGGCAGGGAGAAGAAGGTCATATTTTGAATAGAAATAAGCTGGTGCGTAGTCGATGAAGCTTTTTC